CGATAAATAGACAGACAGCTAGTTTAGTTGTCTGATTATACTGCTAAATAAAATGTTTAAACCAGTGTTTTTTTTTTTGGTCTCACAACCTGGTCAGCCTGGTCTTTCGGTGGGTTTTATAGGGTTTTTGTTCACTTTTCATCTTGGTCAAGACCATCTTAAACCTTGGCTGGTTTAGGGGGTTTTCAGCATGATAATGGGTTGGCATTTTATACAGCAATGTAAAAAAAACCACAGGAGACCAGTGCACATCTATATCCCATAAAAACTGCTTAGAACATTGCGAGGTTCTCTGTGGCATCTGTTTTTAATTTATTAGCATAAAGCCATCTTAACCAAAGCCACCACTCAGAGATGACTGCAGATCCCTTTATCCAACATGACTACCCTTTCACTCAAACAAGCACTCACTGCTGTCTCCACTTCACTAACGAATGAGTCTCTCTAAACCCGTGAGAGGCACACACACACAGCTCTGCATGTGCACCATGAAAACACTTATTCAATGTACAAGTACAATTGCGGAGGATGGAGTGTTATCCTGACATCACAGGTGGAGTATTTCTCTTCTTCAAAGGCTTGTTCCTCAACCTGAGTCTGTGTCGCTAAGAAACAAACAAATATTGCACTGTGAATGTCAAATGAGGTTATAATGCAGGTTTATTTAAAATAATTCACAAAGAGTATAGCATAAGGAAAACATAAAAGTATAGTTGAACTGTGTGCCATTTACTATTTTACATGATTATGTATTGCATAATAAATAAAACATTCTGAATATAAATAAAATACAGACAGACAGACAGACAGACAGACAGACAGACAGACAGACAGACAGACAGACAGACAGACAGACAGACAGACAGACAGACAGACAGACAGACAGACAGACAGACAGACAGACAGACAGACAGACAGACAGACAGACAGACAGACAGACAGACAGACAGACAGACAGACAGACAGACAGACAGACAGACAGACAGACAGATAGATAGATAGATAGATAGATAGATAGATAGATAGATAGATAGATAGATAGATAGATAGATAGATAGATAGATAGATGGATGAAAGGAACAAAAAAAATAAAAATAGAAAAAAATATATAAGGGTACAATGCTGACATCTAGTGGATAATCACAGACACACATTTTCTTATATCTAAATGGAGGAATACTATTGACGTGTTTGGATATTTAATCATCACAACATTACAATGTAAAGTATATTCATTTTGCGATTTAGCAAAAGATTAAAAAGTGAATTTATCTAATATTTAGATACATATGTTATTCTTAAGGTGCACTGGTCAAAGGAGCAGCTTTGTCATGCAACTGACCAAAAACAGACAAAAGTGGCAGTAGAAAGTCTAAAATAAATGAAAAATAACCTGTGAATTCACGCACACACAAATAAATAAAAATACAAATGTGCAAAATATGCAGTAGCAAAGCACATAGTTCTCCAAGTAGCTAAAAATGTAAACCGGCATAAATAGGCAACATAAGCTCAAAACTCGCGTGCAGACATAAACATCCCATAATATCAACAACTTGACTGTAATGAATACCCAACTGTTCCGCTTACTCTCATTACCGTTTCTTGTCAGTTTGTTTACATCACTGTGCGACATCATAAGCCATGTGAGCCAGTGCGAGCGGTCAAAGGTGAGTATTGTTGCTGCCGTGATTCAGCAGCATGCTGGTTTAAAGGCTGCACACACTACACAAACACGCAGCCAAGCGCAAAGACCTCAGCCAACCCCTTGTCATGACATATTAACTAACTGCTTTGCAAATATATACTTTTTCCAAACACTTAGGAGGCGTCCCCTGCGGGCTTGATGTACAGTACGTAAAATGAAATCAACCAGATCAGCTGTATGCATATGCAGCCTGACATAAACCATCTGAACCAATCATAAACGCAGCTGTCTGCCTGCTCTGAGTGCATGTGGCCCACCAGCAGTCTCTTCATCTTGAACCCTCTTAAAAGGCATTGTTGCCAAATAAATCTCTATACAAAGTATCGGCAAAAATGTTCATCTGTTATAAATTTGAATTCAGGCGATGTCTTTAAGCACAGTCATGCACGCCGGACATGAGCAAAGCCTTTTCGGGAGGTCAACATTGTGCCATTAGATGAAGATTTCTAAGAAATCTTGTTTTATTTCACCAACATTTTTCTCAAAGTACATTGTGCATTGCTCTCATGTATAAAAGGATCTAGAAGACATCAATGCTATTTATATATTTATTGTACAGAGAGTCAGCCCTACTTGAGAGTGCATTTGTCCATCTTTATGTGCATTTATGAGTGGAAATGTCAATCTGGCATGTACCCACTCAATGCATGATTCAATATCTTAAAAAAAAAAAAAAAAAAAAAAGTTACTTAGTTCTTTCTTTGCGATTGAATTCAGTTGGACTTTTGCAGAGCATGAAAGTTTGACTTGCAACGACGCTTCATAATCACTTTCATCACGTCATTAGTGAAGCATTTGTTGACGTTGACTTTGCACAACTCATTTACATTCACATCAAATGGACATCAAGCAATGATTCATTTTGCAATCTTGCCTTCCCCGCGTTCTCAACAGAAGTCTCCACATGCCCTGCCTCAAAGAATAACGAATAGGATTCAGCACCATGGACAGCAACATGTATACTGTCGCTGTCCATGGTGCTGAATCACATTAGCGTTTTTCTCTTATTAGTAAAAAGAAAGCATTTAATTACAAAAATTGTTTTTGTCGATCCAAAAACATTTTTCAGGATAAAATTAAGATCTTTGAGGCAAAGATCTTTGTCATCAGGTTCAATTAGAAGACTTTAACAATATAATTTAATTACTATACTTATTAATGAAGGTGAAGGCATTTTGTTTCATAATTTAATCAGAGTTTTTTTTTTTTACAGAAATTCTGAACTTTCTAAGAAAATATGAATTAGTTAGAATTGGTCAAAAGTGACTAAAGACATTTATAATGTTCAAAAGGTTTAGATTTATAATGTAATAAAACATGTGCATTTAAAACAAAAGCTGTTCTTTTGAACTTTCTATCATTTAAATAGCCTGACAAAAATATGCATCAAGGTTTTTTTTTTTTAAATAGAAGAACAGATATGTTAACTTTGATAATAATAATAATAATAATAATAATAAAGATTTCTGGAGCACCAAATCAGCATATTAGAATGTTTTTTGAAGGATCATGTGACATGATAGATAATAATTTTAAGTTGTAATAACATTTCACAATGATACTATTTTTCCTTTTTTTCAGATTTCTTTAAAAATCTTACCAACCCTAAACTTTTGAATGGTAATTCTTCCACAACAAAAGAAAACTATTTTTAGTTTTATCCAGTCACCTCATGTTTATCACTCCTGTCAGCTTGTTTCATTCAAATCATCATATAAGATGGCATTTTGTCCACGTGCTATTTTCATCCCTGGACATTTGAGAGGAACACTCACTGTTTTATGACAGTTTGTAAGATTCTTTCATCTAACAATAGTCTTCCTGTCTTGTTTGACCCATTTCCAGCTGGCTAAAGTCATAGTTACATTCAGTTTAAAAATCGACCCGTCATAGCCGCACATACCGTGCCTTGAGGGTTGGGTGGCGTATGATCGTCGTCACAGTGAACATCCAACCACATTAACACAAATGTCTGAGGTCAAGTGTCTCATACTAGCACATGCAGGACACAAGGATAAAGGGAAAAAGCATGATCATTCTTGCCACATCAATCGCCACATTAAAAAGGTTGTTGGGTTTGATCGGATCACTGTGTTCACAGAGTGCACTGGGCCTTAATAAGCAGAAACTCTGTTCGCTCTGACTCAAAACCACACAAAGTATTTCCTTCCATCAGCATATACATAGTCCTTTTTTCCAGCACCTCAAAACACTGAAAAGACAAATAATAATAATTTGTCAATGTTATACCCACTATAATATAATATAATATAATATAATATAATATAATATAATATAATATAATATAATATAATATAATATAATATAATATAATATAATATAATATAATTATTTTATAACATTTATAACAATATAACATTTAACACTAAAAAATGCTGTGTTGTTTCAACCAAATTTGGGTCAAATATGGACAAACCCAAATGTTGGGTTAAAAATGTAATTAAAAAAATTACTGTTGAAAGTGAAAGTTGAAAATTTTAAATTACAAAAAAAAAAAAAAAATACATTTGGGTTTGCCCATATTTGACCCAAATTAGGGTTAAAACAACTCAGCATTGTTTAGAGTGAATGTGTATGAATACAAATATTGTATTGTATTAAATCATATTATATATTATATTATATTATATTATTATTATATTATATTATATTATATTATATTGTATTGTATTATATTAAATCATATTATATTATATTATATTATATTATATTATATTATATTATATTATATTATATTACATGGTTTTTGGAACCACTTCATTTAATTGTGAAATGCAAGACATACAACGTACGTAACTTATTTCTATTAATAAAATCTATTTATTGTAATCCGTGCCATTTTCAATTATCTGGAATTATTCAAATGCATCACTGAACACTGACAAGAAAGACTGAATTAATTAAAAACTCGGAAGTCAACTCAGTCGAGCTCTGCAAACTATCTATTCTCAACGTGACTATTTAAAGTGCACGACTCACTGGCGTTTTGGGTCATGTAGGATGTCAGAAGGCAAGAGCACCAATCACCCAGGTTACTCTGATGGGGCAGATGACAGGAAAGAGAGAGGGTTAAAGAGGTAAGAACGCAAAATCAAAGCAGGCAGCCTGCAGGGACTGGGGGGGGAAAGAGGCATTAGTCACCATCTGATTGAAGGAACGGACACAATGGACTATGACAATCATGCCATCATCATGCACGCATACTTTTCATGCCCGCCCCCTTCGTTCCTTCCTTCTCTTTAATGGGCAGATTCGTCCCTCAGCACCTAAACTCTGGACACTTTAAATAGCAGTCCGACCCCTTGCTGTTCCACAACCTCTCCTCTCCTCTCCTCTCAGAATGTCTAGGAGCCTGAAGCAAGGTATTTCCATGAAGTGACAGAGGCTCTGATTCAAGGAGACTGAAGCCCACAGTTAGAAATAAAATCTGTGGATGCATTTCTCGCTGGAACTTATATTTTCTCTAACCCTCTGCTTCTCTGCACTCTGTCTCTCCTTCTCTTTCTCTGCCGGCAGTGGCTGTGCTACTTGTGGCACTTCTGTGCCTGGATCCTCACGGCCGCGTCGGCTCTGCACCCATCTGCGCAAATGGGCCATCAGGATGCCACGTCCCGTCCCTGGGCGATCTCTTCGACAGGGTCATTCAGCACTCGGCCAGAATGCACAGCCTCTCCAACGATCTACACTCAGAGTTTGTGAGTCGCATCTGTCTTTTCTTCTACTTCTAATTGTTCTAATGCAACTCTCATTGTAGCAAGGAGGTTGTAAAGTAAAGTTTTATTTCTACATTTTGTAACGCAATGGCATAGCTTAATTAACATTTCTGATCCAATATATCAAATAAGCATGGTCATATTTTCAAATTTATGGTATGGTTTGCAAATATGGAGGATTATTACCTGAAACTAAAGTAAATAATGTTATCTCAAACAAGGGAAAAAAAAATAGCACACACAAAAAATACAAATTACAATCTGACAAAGATAAAATTCTCTTATGAATTGAAATAAAAACAGACTTTTTAAAATATTTAAAAGTGAATGATAATATGTATTAACAGCTCAACAGCAAAATGAACTGTTCTAATAATATAAAGTATTAATTGAAATAATAATAGACATTTTAAGATTCAGCTATTTTATTATACATAAGAAAAGGCATAATAGCTTTTAAATGAATTGTAAATAAAAATCTATATTATTTGTATTTTAAAATGCCTAATATGATGAATAAAGTTATTCTAATGTTTAATCTCTAATCTAATCTATGATTTTTTTCTTTTTTCTTTAAAGGAACAGTATTTCCTGCCCAGCAAAAATCACATCGGAAAGATATATCGCAAATGTCACACATCCAACATACTGACCCCTAATGGCAAAGAAAATGCACAGAAACTAGCTGTGAGTATAACATCCAAACAAACCGTTCCTAAAAAACATTCAAATTGCAAGTTCAGCTCTAAAGTGTATTTATCACATCGAATGCTGCCAATGCTTGTTCTCTCACCCAACTGCTGTCGTATCACCTCTGTGCCCTTGAGCAAAGCACTTAACCGCAGCCCGTCCCAAGAGGACTGTACCATCAATTAATGTCCTTAAAGCCACATCTGCTAAATTAAGTTGCCCAGCAACCATCTCCTCAAACTCTTAAACCTCATTATTTGTTACTATGCAGTTTCAGCTGTAGAAATGAGAAATAATTCATACCTGTAAATCTTTAAACGTTTTTAATTTTGTGTCTCAGCGTGAAGAGTTAACCGAAGTGATTCTGAAATTGCTGTTGGCATGGAAGGACCCCCTGTTCCAGCTGCACCAGAGCATGGCTCACCAGCAGGACTTCAACAGCTTCAGCAGTAACAAAGCCCTGGAGATGGGTGACATGGCCCACGAGCTGAGGAAAGGGGTGGAGAAAGTCACTGAAAAGGTAAGTCACATCAAAGAAGGAAATAAGAAACGGAAGTGCATTAAGAAGGTTCAGGAGAGGAGTATATGATAAAGGCCAGAGTGTGTGTGTGTGTGTCATCTGTGTGATTGTGAGAGGGTTTTGCACTTTGGGATTTCTTATAAGCATTAGAGATGATTTCTGTTGTTAAAATTACAGCATTGGATATGTTAGATCAACTACCATTGATGAATACTAATGAAAAGTAACTGATTTTTAACTTTTTTATTTAATTTAGGCTTGTCACACCTGAGATAACTTTTTTTAAATGTATACTAACTAAAATGATAAATCAAATGTAATCATTTTGACAAAATCTGTTAAAACAATATATTTTTAGTATTATAATAAGCATTTCATCCATGATAGAACTGTTTTAAATTATTAATTGAAATGTATTTAACAATTTTTTTTTTCTAATAACTAAAAAAAAAATATTAAAAATACATTCCTAAAAATAATTTGGAATAATTTCATTTTCACATAGTATTTTTTAACCATTTAACCTTACTCAAGTTATTGCAAGAAAAAATAATAACATATACATTTAAACATTTTATTTAATTCATGGGAATGCATAATTTCAATACCTTAACCAACATTTGCATATATATATATATATATATATATATATATATATAATAAAATCATATATCATAAAATCATATATCATAAAATAAATAAAATATTAAATATTAAAAAAATCAGTTAGTAATTGACAAAGAGTTTATGAACTTTTGCTGATGCCCGCATCACTGTGATTCATTCATTGTTTCTCTCTCGTCCTCTGTCAGATGAGGGTACTGGGAATGCTTGGAAACTCTGTGACGGGTCTGTCGGCACCAGAAGCAATGCTTCCTATATCTGACAGCGGAGAGGCCATGAGTGACTACGAGCTCCTGTACTGCTTTCGCCGTGATTCTAACAAAGTCCAGAACTATCTAAAGATCCTTAAGTGCAGAATCGTACCTGAGCATGACTGTTAGGAAGAAAAAAAACATGGCCCTTTCACCTGCACTAATGGACTACACATGCTGGTCCCCACTTATCAAGCATGTTTGACTCTGTACCATCAATTAATTGCTAGTTCTCCTAACCAATTCACTTCTATAATTATCAAAACATAAATAGTACGCAGCAAGTAAGGGGGAAATTCTGTTTCGCCTCTAACTAGAAATGATCTCTGAAGTCAATTCATTCTTTCAAATATTTTTCTATGCCTTCTATTTATATTTCCACATCAGTTACGCTCATTTTAATCATTCTTTTTTCTTTTTTTTTTTTTGCTTTCAAAATTTATCCATCATTTTTCGCTGAATGAACTGACAACACAAAATTTAAATAAAACAGTAGATTCTTCAGCAGACGCGATGTTTACTGTATTTATTGAAGAATAAGAATTAAACATCTTTAAATGATGTTCCAAACACATGCCCCACAATACAACTCACACACACACACACACACACACACAACAATGTAAGCAGAGAGTGTGCTGAGCAAACATTTCACTCATGACTCATTTGGGTAGGGAAAAACTACAAGTGCTTTGGGGTAAATAAATACATAAATTAAATTAAATCTGGTCTTGACTAATCTGGATGGAAGTAGTGTGTGTCTCTAGTTTGCCCTCTGCATGTAATGACAAGTAACTCTTCATACAGTAGGACAGAAAGACCTCGGATTAAGAGTTCAGTCTCAGCCTGGGGCCAGTGCTTCCGCCTGAACTTTAGCATTTTACCAGAATCAGGTGTGCTGTCATGTTCAAGGAGGAACAATCTTTGAAACAGTGCAATAGTCTCATCTGGCAACTGCATTATCTGTAAAAGAACACGAGAAAGTCCATGTTGTACATTTTAAGGGAGTCGATGTGCTTTGATCGATACATTATACAGATATCTAAATATATATTTTGGAAAATGGAATTAAGTTCCACATTGGTATTCTGTGCATACACTTGTACACGTAGGCCACAGATTTTTTAGAGAATTATTAACGTTTGGTTTGGGGCAGAAGATATGAATCCACATTTCAACAATTCTGCTCAGTATACTGTAATAAACAAAAAGTGCATTAAAGATAAATATCAGGCATGAAAAAGACCCTCCAGCTCTGAATTGTAGCCTGCTTGATAGTTTAGATCCCTTTTCTTCTTCTTGGTTGGCTAAATGCTTTATTGGATCACTGTCCTCTGGCATTCAGGGCTATTTTTTGATGGACAGCTCCTAAAATCAGATGAAATGACTGATGCTCATCATATGTTACCCACCAGAATCAACCTAAGAGCTGAGCAATCTGGGATTTACAGTCATATAGCCAACAGCAATGTGGTAAGCAAGATTTGCTGTGGTGAGTATGGATAGAAATGTAATAGAGATTTAATGTATTTGGGTATGGTCCCCACATATCGGGCATACAGAAAGGTCTCATTTGATCATTAGAAGACTTTGGGGTCATTCGCTTATGTGACATTATTCATATCTGCATGATTACAAATAATCAAGGTTGCTGAATGTACTGTGACTCTATATGTTTTTTGTTTTTTTTTTGGATGCCATGATATTTTTTTTTCAGAATTTTTGATGAATTAAACATCATTTTTTTTAAATAGAAATCTTTTGTAACATTATAAATGTCCATACTGTAACTTTTGATCAATTTAATGCATCTTTGTTGGAGAAAAGTAATAATCAATATCACACGAAGAGTGCCATTTCAGTTTTTCTCCTCCAAAAATCTGCATGATTAAAATGTGATATGTGACAAAATGTGACAAACAATAATTTAATTACAACTACAAAATGTTGCAGAATAATGTAATATATGAATGAATAATAGCCTATAAAAAACCTTTGTGCCAAAAGGGTTCTTTCTTGTCATTATAGAACCTTTTTTAGCATGAAAGAGTAAAGAACCCTATGCTTCATCAATAGAACCCCAATGAACCATTTTGTCTAAGAGTGTATAATAAACCCAAAAATGTCAATATGTTCACAAAAAGATAGCAGCTTCACATTAGGAGGGTAACAAAAGATAACTTTTTTTTTTTTATTAGCCAATTGTTTTAATTATGTTTTCAAATTAAATCTGGATGTTAAATATTTTATATATCCAATACCAGCGTCATTATTGTAGGAAGTGGCCTAACCCTTAAAAGGAAACTGTGCTTTGGCCTTTGTCCCACAGACCCCTGAGTCACTGAGTCACGTGTAACAGACACAGACGAGACCTGAGCACCTCGTCATCCGGAAACGAGTGAGCTTTGCACAAGCCTACATCAGCAACACACACACACACACACACACACACACGCTCCAGCTGTTTCTGGACATCAGACAGACAGATTTGCTGATCTGTATTTTTTCTATTCTTAGATTTAAAATGATATAGTAATACATGCATCATTCTTACATCATTCATACCTCAGGACATATCAAATGCTTTTTTTTTTCTAGATGGCAATAGGCTACAGTTACATCACAGACACAATGTGCTACTTGCTATTATTTGGTTGCAGATGGATGAGGTCATGACACAAATACAGTAAGGTCATATGATAACAAATGTATCATACTACTTTTTGAAGGTTAGTTTATTTGAAAATGTCTTCTGTTACACTTACTATTTTTAATAATAGGGCAGAGTACAGATATACTGTATCATCAATATATAAATTAAACAAACTTGAATATTCTACGCATTAGTTTAGCATCCAGAATGGACTATCAGAGCTGGGTGGATAGTTACTTATGAATTTTAGTCAGTTACTGATACCAAATTGACAAAAAAAAAAAAAAGTAATTAATATAATCCATTACACATTTTGACATCAGAGAACAATGAACTTAATCTTATTATTTATTATTACTACTTAATTATTATATTGACATAACCTCTTAACGGAATGTCTCAGGGGGTAATTCAAGAAAATATATTAGATCAAAGAGGTTCAGCGCGGACAAAAAATCATGGAATCCCAGCATTGTAAATATGAAATTACATGAATTTGCACATTTTAATGTGTTTGAAAGACAAAAGTCTTCCAAAGATAATATATGATTAAATGACACACTAAGTGATAATTCAATAATGAATGTGTTTGTCACTGATTACATTTATAATGTTAAAATGTTGCAAAAATTGTGTGTTGGGTCTCAGTTTTCAGAGGAACATAGTGGCAGGTCAAGTGTGTTTATTTCCACACACCCAGAAGACATTCCACAAACCTGAAAGCCATTGTGAGAATAACATGTTATCATATAATCAATGTAATAAAATTGTAACTGCAGTCAAGTATTTAAAACTGAATATAATCTAATTGCAAGTATAGGCCAACTTAATTTTTTGGAATCTGATTAAGTAATCCAGATTACATGTAATCAGTTACCCGAAACAATTTCTGAACACACAATATTTTAGTGCTACTTTATGTCCTCCATATGATGGCAGCACTTGCCAATGATCCCAGTAGGTTTTATGACAGTTGCACAAATTTAGTGCTATTGCTAGAGGGCACTGTTGAGCCATATTTTTCTACAGCTTACTGTCCTGAGAGCATGACTAAAGTTTAGGAACACAACACAAACAAAAACAAACACTGGACTTATATGTATAACATACAGGTATAACCAGACATTCATGATATGATACCATGTATAGTCAAGGAAATACAAACAAGAGATTCTTCATTTGAAAAGCCATACTAGTGCAAATAAAGCTTTCTGATACCGAAATTATGCTCATTAGCTATAAAAGTTTAGTCATCTTCATCGCCTGCCATATTTTTATTTACTGTTATTCAGTGTTTATTTTTATTAAAATTGTAATTATTACTGCAGAGCACAGGAATAGCCGACATTATATGCGACTGGTGGAGATGCTTTCGTGTTGCCAATAGCCTAAAGTACATTAAATTAAATAATAAGTGAGAGAGAGAGTGATGAAAGGAAAGGACTGACCAAACCTAACAAAATAAAGTTAAGTGTTCTCCATTACGCCATTATTCCATTAGGAGAGAGAGAGAGAGAGAGAGAGAGAGAGAGAGAGAGAGAGAGAGAGAGAGAGAGAGAGAGAGAGAGAGAGAGAGAGAGAGAGAGAGAGAGAGAGAGAGAGAGAGACCTGCTATCATAACTCCGCCTCCGGTTTCATCCAGACTGGATTCTTTATTCCCGTAGTCTTTACTCTGGAGAAAGGGGGAAAGTAGGGGAGGAGAAACACGCGCCGGTAGTGGGATGGACGGGAAAGCGTGGAGTCCGCTTGCGCTTATTTGAGCTGACAGAGACGAGACGAGCGCATCCCAACACGAGAGCTCTGAACACTTCTTCACCTATGAATGAATGACGGGTCGCTCTCCTTAGACGACACCCCCCCCAAAAAAACCCGACCTCATTCATCAGCTTAAATAACGACTGGACACTGAGTTCGGGATATTTGGGACTTTCTACAGCGTCTCAGCGGCGATCTTAAGATTTATCGAGCATCTGGACACGTCGCTAAGGAAACCATGGAGACGGAATCGTCCCAGTTAGGGAGTAATGGAGCGAATGAAAGTGAGCTTCTACCGGTGGACTATGCAGGAGGAGAGATGCCAGCTTCTATCGGTTCAAGAAGAGGGTCCAGCGTGAAGAAACATCACCACAAACACAACCTGAAGCACCGTTACGAGCTGCTCGAGACCCTCGGGAGAGGGACATATGGAAAAGTGAAAAAAGCCATAGAGAGGCACACTGGACGAGTGGTGAGTTGACAAACATGCATAAAAGACTGAAAAATGACCTAGCTCTGGAAACCCAGTGCAGTTCTCAAAAGGGTATCACATATGTTTCAGATGTTTCTATTAAAATTCTTTGGGATAAATAAGCTGGAGCAATAAAAGCTGAACCAGGTCATTTGGTCTTGGTGACTTGGCAAATCTGAATGTTGAAGTCTAAATGTTGATAAATATGGTGTTTTCCCCCCTCATAGAGAAAGCCAGAGACAAGAAAAGGTCATTGTTTAAACTATTGTAGAACAGAGATATTAAAAAGATCTATTTTTGTCTTATTGGAGAAACTGTGTGGGTTTCACTCTATATTCTTCTTCTTCTATATCAGTTGACTTAATCAAACATTCCCTTAAATTGTTGGTGAAAGTAAATTCGCCTCTAATAGCCGTCATTACATGCACAATTTCACCGGGCAAGTGCTGTCTTCCGTCCCTCAATAACCGGGGTCAGATCATTTAGGTCATAGGAGTTGAGCAGGTCAAAGGTTTCGAAGCATGAGAGGTATGTTTATGTCGCAAGTAACCTAAGCTCCTTTACATCACTCTGGACTTCACTAAGAAATGCATAACATCTGTAGAGCGAGATAACAAGTTGGAAAAACTAGGATAAAAAAAAAAAAAAAAAAAAACACTTCTGATTTGGAACTAGGTCAGCACATTAATCCTGAGACAGATCTGCATCTTGAGTAGGGCAGATATGGACCTATTGGTCAGATCTGTGGGCGAGAGAAATGTGGCCTGATGTCAACAGCTGCTTGTGCAGAGGATGTTCTCAGAGTCACCTCCGGGACATGGGAAACCCAATAAGGCAACCACTTATGAGCCTTTCCGCAGAATTAACGCCGCCTGACTAGACGGACACATTAGATTGTGTGGTTCTGTGGAGACCAACACAGTGGGTTGTGTTTTCTGTGTCGATGGCCAATGCTAAATCTGAAGGGTGCAGATAAGTGTTTGTGTGCTGATGGTTCTGGCAGCAGCAAATAATGTTCCAACATATGCATTTAAAAAAGCTTTCTCCACCAAAAAAGAGTGAGCTTCAGTGATTTGCTTTGTTAACTTTGTTGTTTAAATGGGTGTTCAGGGCGAAAAAAAAAGACAAGTAGACAAGGTAGATGATAAAGATGCATAAACTCAAACACATTTAGCAGAGCTGACAAAACAAAGTCGCAGTCCACACTTATTGTCTGAATGGATTGATTGTTGAATCTTAAGAATGCATGACTCACGCTAGAAGCGAAAGGAAGTTTTTATATCATTGTAGGCTGAATAAAACCTGAATAAGTATTCTTACTCTTTGCATGTGCTTCTTTATTGCATTCTTAGCACATGTTCAATACAAGTTTAATATAATATTTAATATAATTTAATAGGCCTAGTATAGGCCTTGTATAGTGAGCTCTCTCGGCCACCGTATATAAACATCTCTCTTTAGAACTCACAAAGAAAAATAGTACTGAAATAGGTGTATGCCAATGCTTTAAATAAAAAAAAAGATTCATATGATTTACAGTATGTATCTTTTCTTAAATACTGTTCAAAAGTTTGGATTTTTTTCCCCAAAATAAATTAATACTTTGTACCAAATATGAGTTAAATGCCAGTAAAGACATTTACAAAAAAAAAAAAAAAATATATAAATAATAATAAAAAATATATATAATAATAATAATATATATATATATATATATATATATATATATATATAATGCTGTTCTTTTTGACCTTACTATTCTGAAAAATGTATCATAGTGTCCACAACAATATTAAGCAGCACAACCTTTTTGAATCGACAGTCACAAAGAAACCTTAAAAATAGGTTATGCTATGGTATGAGGTACTTAACATTCTAAAAATATTTGTTTTAATTGAAAGGAAACTGACAGTGTATGTTTGTAAAGGTAGAAAGATGGAAGCGGAAGGTGGAAAGAAACAACAAATGTCATGACATGCTTTCTTTTTTTGCTCATTCATTGTGTTCAATTCTCTATGACGCATTGCTCCGCACGAGTGCTCCGGTGAGTAAAGGTGCTCCCTTTTCCCCTTAAACGGCGGACAGGTAAAACAACACAGCTGTTGTGTGAGGCTTCGACAATGGCCTGGTCTATGTCTGAGAGACAATGAGAAGGCTTCAGTTATAGCCAGGGGTTAGAGAAGAGCAAAGACTACAGCCAGCTGGCATAGGCATCAAACACAAGTTGGCTTAATGATCTGTAGCCACAGGCAGGGAAACAATACCACTCAACCATGTGCGCTTGCTTCAGCACGGTCAAAGAATCACCTGCACACCCATCTGCTGCCATGCAATTTTAATGAGTTTTTGCTTTCACTGTAATTGTTTATAAATTTGAGAGGAGAAGACATTACATCACATTATAATGTCCTGAAGTGGCTTTTAATACACATTGGGTACACACACGCACACTATTTCTGGCTCTATCTTAGTCTCTTTAAACCATTCACCATTCTAGTGACAAACACCAGACTGAAACCAGACATATCCAAGTATGAGTGTTACATAAGCCACTGATAAGGTAACATGCTATGCATGCATTGCAGATATCTTTAGAGAAGAAAACAATACATTGCATGCACACCCTGCTCAGACGTATTTCATTTTGTCCCTAAAAGGCTTGGGGTGGCAGTTTATCGGTGCCGTGAACACTGGGTGGACAGGAAGTCAGCTCTGTCAGCACCACTTCCCCTTCTGAGTGTTTTATGAGTCAGTGGAGGAACAGGCTGCAAACTTCCTGCAACTTTTAATCCCACCTCATGACCACTCAGACTTTAGTACGGCAGAAATCTTCTCAGCATCCTCAAGCACACACACATACTTATACATATATGTGGTGTATGTATATATATATATATATATATATATGAAGAGTTCAGATGCAAAAGCCTCTAAATGCCATTTGAAATTTTCTTCTTTAATGATAATTTTTAACAAACTTGTATATTTAAGTTCAGTAATTTCACTTAAATGGCAATGATAATTACCTATTAATTGTTATTTAAGTGAAATTACTGAACTTAAATATACAGGTTTCATAAAAATCATCATTAAAGAAGAAAATTTCAAATGGCATTTAGAGGCTTTTGCATCTGAACTCTTCATATATATATATATATATATATATATATATATATAGCTAATAAAAAAAATGTTAACAAAAATAGGTTCTTTGAAAGCAGACTTTTGAGCGCAGACACATCTCTGTGATAGAGCCGGTTTGGGAGCTTTCTAAATGGGACATTTAAAAATAACTCCCGTGGTGCGCCTTCTCCCGAAAAAGCCATTCACCTTCAGAGAAACCCATTTTTGCTCAAGGTTAGGGCTGCTCACAGCAGATCTAGACCCATAATCTCAACATCTCTTTAGTACCTGCAAAGAAAAATAGTACTTGTAACAGTGTGCAATGCTTTCTTAGGAATCAAAAACGATTTATGTGATTCACAGTATATCTTTTCTTGAACCGCTGTTCAAAAGTTGTTGTTTTTTTTCCAGAAAGAATTGATTGATTTCTGAAGGATCGTGCAACACTGAAGACTGAACATTTATCTTTGCCATTCCAGGAGTTATAACTATATATTCGGGATTACATTTATATATTCGCAGTTATTACTATATATTCGGGATTACATTTATATATTCGGAGTTTTAACTGTATATTCGGGATTACATTTCATTATTTCCTGTTTGGCCCCCCATAATATGTATATATATACAGTATATATATATATATATATATATATATATATAAACAGTAAACAGTTTTATAACGGTTTCACTGTATTTTTGACCAAATAAAGGCAGCCTTATCCATTTGTTCATTGTGAAAAAATGTCCATGTTCAAAGTACCCATCATAAACAATTCCTTTGCAGGGTAAATAAAAAGACTACTACTAACTAGACTGGTTTGTTCAGTTAATATGTGGGTCAACTGACTGACTATGACAGGAAATACTTTTCCTATGAACCATGAAAGGGAGTAAGCTCTTCTGTTTCTATGAACCCCCGGGCCAGGATGTCACTGCAACACAAAAATCATTCACCCATGTCTTCATCAATATTGCTCAATCAAACTGAGCTCCTAAACCAGAAATAATCAATATTTTCTGTTTACTCCAATCAAAAGAATCACTTTGAACTAAATGTAAGCTTGCTACAAATAGTATTCATAGTTGATTTTAATATTGTGTGTTGGTTCTCAGGTGGCGATAAAATCCATCCGTAAGGAGAAGATTAAAGATGAACAAGACATGGTGCATATCCGCAGAGAGATCGAAATCATGTCTTCTCTCCGCCATCCACACATCATCTCTATATACGAAGGTAGGCCTAGTCTTTCATACTCAAATCTAACTGAGACAACATACCTCATATGTATTCAGAAAACAGAGCACATTTGTCTGAATGGATCAAAATCTTAAAATCCCTTTAACTCTCAGCGAGTGTAAACTCCACACCCGTTGCTGCAAAACGTGCGGTTTTTCTCAACTGCCAATCATCTTTTGCCAAAGATCCGTTACCCTCAAGTTTTATTTATGCGATCTGACCGCACCCTGCTAAGCCCAAGGGTGTTGACCAGGCAACAATATTGTTGGGGGTGTAGACTCTCTAATGGAGATGAAGCGGATGCATCGAGGCCATTACAGTCCTGCTGCAATCAGCATGTTTAAAAATGTCCCACGCATGTAGCTGTGCCTCTCAGAACAGAACATAAATCAAAAAACCCATCAAATCAGGCCCCAAGCGCAGCACGCCTTGAGCGGGATACTCAAAACAAAGACTTGACAAAGCTGCTTTATCTCCACACTGACAGAGGGAGACGCCACGGCTGTGGACTCATGCCTCGCTCTCAGCCAGGGGTCATTATTACTGACCCTGGATAGGTCTGAGAGCCGGTGCCAAAACGGAGCACGCTCAGTCTTCTGTGTCTAATACGGATTAGCTGAGAGAGGTAATTACTCAGCGCTGGCCTGGGATTGAGTTCAGTGTCTTGAACGTGAACATAACTTGTTATTCTCACAACCTCGGTTAGTCCTGACCTAGACAGTCAAAAGGTATCCACATACACATTTTGTTTGTTGTTGAAAGTGGAAGGAAACTCACTTGATCAGCAGGAATCTTCATCCTCTATTCGGTCCACTGACCATCGCTGTGACGACCAGCCTCCGGGCGCTAAACAATGAAGGGTCACTATGGAGACTCTCTCGCTGTATCAGCAGAAGGTGGAAGAGGATCTCAATGGAGGAACGGCTTCACTCCCCTGTGAAAATAAAAACAAAGATTTGCTGAGCTCCAATTTTTCCATCAGGTTCTCAAGAGAAACACTTCTCTGATTGGCTTAAATGATAGCTATTAATCTACGAGCTGCTACTAAGAATACATTGTTTTGCAAAACACGTACCTTTTCTTGCTTGGAACGGGAATGCTCACGCACACCAAATCTCACTTCCTGTCTGCTCTTAACACCTGTTAACAGTTGTGGTCCGGCTCGCAAAGACAGCTCCTAATCGCCATGACCCTGACTAAAGCCAGACTCGCTGGCGATTTTGACTCCTACATACAGCATCTGGCAGCGGCCCAACAAAAACTTGAGCCAAACAGTTAATGTCAATGATAGAGAGCTTTAGTTAGTAAGTGGGACTTAATGCAAATATGCTATTTTCATTTCCATGCGCTGTCCCTTTAACATGCATAATCATTGATGTTGTGTAATGTAATAAAGTGCTGTTGTGTTTACTTTGCTTCTTTGTCTATTCGCAGTTTTCGAGAATAAGGATAAGATTGTGATCGTGATGGAATATGCCAGTAAGGGCGAGCTGTACGAATACATCAGTGAGCGCCGAAGGCTCGGTGAAAGGGAGACGAGACACTTCTTCAGACAGATCGTCTCTGCTGTCCATTACTGCCACAAGGTGAGGACAGAGCCCACAAACATCATATCTGTGGGGTGAGAAAAATGACCCGTACATTTACTCATGATCCGCGTGTTGTTCTGCATGGCGTTTTTTCTTCCATAAAATAAAATTATTAAAAATTAAAACAGTGATACTGTTTTGGAAGGACATGAGGGTGAGTGAATGATATACATTTAATCTTCTCATGTATTTCAACCCTTTAAATGTTTAGATAAATGTACATTTTTACACCCTTTCTTGTAATCTCAGTGCAAGATATGTTAGCAGAGAGCAAACTGAAGTGCATAATAAATATTCAATGAAGTGTTTCAGTATTATGTATGACATTATTGCCTAAATTATAAAACGTCAAGTTTCGGCCCTGGATGCTAATTAGATGCAAAATTCTAGTTGTTGGATTATCTTGAATGAACTTGATAACAAAAAGAAATGATCAAAAATGTGTCTTTAGCACTTTAATTCGTGTAAAATATTTTTTACAAAAGCAATTAAGTTGGAGGCCATGCATTACCTGCTTAATAAAACAAATAAAACAAACAAAACAGAAACTAACAAAAAACAAACAGCCTAAGCTGGTTTGTTGGTCTTAGTTTGTCTTCCAACCTGTTTAAGCTAGTCTTTTGGCTGGTTTTAAAGGGAATTTTGTACTATTCAGTTGGTTAGGCTGGTTGCCCAGCTAAACATCAGCTTGGCCACAACTGAAGACCAGGATGGGAGACCATATTTAACTGGTTGGGAGATCAGATTTAACTAGCTAAGAGCAGCTTACTAGCTTAAGCTGATTTTAAGTGTTTTTTTTTTTTCCAGCAAGGATATTGTAAATAGGCTCTACTGCATGTCATGCCTTTAACCGTTAAGTACAACATGCAGTGCTACAACTACACTTCCTATAGCACAGCGTGTCTCATACCTTAAATGAAGCCTCTCAAACTAAACAACTGACATCTGTGCAATGTTCACAATCGACATGATTCACACATGAGCTCTCTATAGAGTAAATAAAATGATTTACTCTATGAAGGAGGACTTGTCGTGATATGCGAGGGATAAACTCAACTTCCAAGAATGCCTCTATACGAAAGATTGTGGAGCCAGAGAGCAGCTGTGCTCTTCTGTCCTGGTGCCAAGCCAATAGTGATCCAGCCAATATTTCTTAATTGTTGTTTCTTTTATTTAACACTTTAGTGCATATTTTTCTAGTTTTACAGAGTTTAAAGCTGAAGATGCTGTTCCTAGATCAGCACAAAGGGTTATCCGGTACCCAGGGCTGTGTCAGCTGGAAAGTGAAACGTCCTGGGGGAATTTAGAGTGGGTTTGGCCTTTGTTCCTTTACAGCTGGGCTGATGATGTCATCAACTCAGCTGGGGGATTCCAGCTCAGCCCTTCTGATCAGGGAGAGCCAGGAGGTCGTCACAAAAATGGGGGCGTTGATTCAAAGATCAGGCTATTTTGACATTCGGGTTATGATACCGGATAATGGGAACTTTTTCCTTCCCTAAAATCACTGTAAAAAATTAGGTCATCAAATATGACAAAACGTTGATCGAATATCAATTTTTTGATGTCTTACAGAGCGGAGTAGTGCACCGAGATCTCAAGCTGGAAAACATTCTCCTAGATGACAACGGTAACATTAAGGTATGTTATAATTTTCTTCCAGTGATTTATTACTCACAAGATTGGCCTGTTCTGATTCTCTCTTCCTTCCAGATTGCAGATTTCGGTTTGTCCAACCTCTACCACAAGGACAAGCTTCTTCAAACGTTCTGCGGCAGCCCGCTCTATGCCTCCCCTGAGATCGTGAACGGACGACCATATAAAGGTCCAGAGGTACATTGTGAACTAAAATTCTCCAGTTATGCAACTATGTAGTGCCATTTAAGAGGCCTTCATTTTTCACCTTTAAAAAATGTAGGCTAGGAAACACAATCACATACTTCCTGTCTGAAAAGATAAGAGAGAACAAAACACAGATAACAAAGAGAAAGAGAAAGTGTTTGAAACCACCCCCGCCCGTCATTCCAAATCCCAACACACTCCAAACTTAGTCACTTCCCACACAGGAATCATTCCACACAAGTCAGTCAGCGCACCAAACATCCAATCCAATGAGAAACAAAGACTGCCAAAAAGAATGACAACTAATCTCAAAGCTATTTTCAGGATATCAAGCATTTTACACCCCCTTCACAATTGCCAAACCCTAAGCCTGTCTAGAACACAGGAATATATCACAATTCCCATAATATTTTTGGTTTTATTGAATGATGATGACACATGCACAACTCTAAAAGCCTCTGGACATTCAATCATTCAGTGATCCCCCTGGTCCCTCAATCATCCTTACATAACTCCAGACCATGGGAAAGGCAGCATTCTTCTCGCTGGTCAGAGATCAGTGGATCAGGGCCAACAATCACAGAGCTCCTCACATCTACTCAGGGTCAGATAGGTCTGGAGTTAGGGGAGTGGACACTTCCTGCACTGCAATCAGCCATTGTTTCCCTCGATACCTCCTCATTCCTCATGGCTAATCAGCAGAGGTGGAGAAGGGATCAGACGAGGTCAGGCACGAGAAATTATTAAATAACGAGCAGGAGTTATGATGGCAGTTACTGCAAAGATATATGTGCGATTACCTATTGTTCTCATACATTTTAGGTGTACAATGACAGCTTGATTAAATGTTCATAAATATAGGTGGAGTTAACTTTATGGACCAGACAGGAAAATAAAATTCCAGAATCTGTTGCTAAATGACGACGAGTCCTCACTGACATGTGTTCAACTTGTACAAAAGGTCAAGCAGTCTGTGAAGCCATTAAATATATACATTTTTTTAAGTGTCATGATGATCATTTGGCAATGTTGATACAAATATGACATTTTTATTATGTAATAGTTTGTTATGTAACTCATAAACTAAAGTGGTATTTTTATTTCCATAGTAAAATGAAATCAGTATGACATGATGAAAAAAATATTTAGTCTATAGACAAAAACAAACCAAACAAAACTGTAAGAAATAACAAATGCAATGCAAATTTAATTGAAAATGTTCCATAAACCATTTTCCAAAACTCTATCTCCCAGTGGACCAATTTACCAATGTGGTGTTGTTTTGACAGGTTGACAGTTGGGCGCTGGGCGTGTTACTCTACACTCTTGTTTACGGAACAATGCCCTTCGACGGAGGAGACCACCAAAGACTCATTCGCCAGATCAGCAATGGAGAGTACAGGGAACCGCCACAGTCATCAGGTATGCGTCTTCTCTACAGACATTTCAAAGTTGTCTGAACCCAAATGAAATCTCCCTCCTGAACCCAAAGTTTCCTGACCGAGTTCAAATCTCTGTCTTATTCAGATGCTCGTGGTTTGATCCGCTGGATGTTGATGGTTAATCCAGAGCGCAGGGCTACAATCGAGGACATTGCAAATCACTGGTGGGTGAACTGGGGCTGGAAGTCCACTGTGTGTGACTGCCAAACACAAAGGGAAAACAGCTCCCCCATGCTTGCCCGCTTCATTGACTGGCAGAACCGCACCGAGGTCCGTCCTGGAAAACCCCAGCGCCCAGAGCCTGGTAACACTAATCTCACTAACACAGCCCGGCGTTTGAGAAAGTCCACGAAGGAGAACGATATTGGAATGTGGGGTGTAGCAGAGGAGAAGCCGGGCCTCAAGAGACCAAAGAGCATTCTGAAAACTCGGGCGACCAGTGGAGACCAACGATCTCAGAGTCTGTGTGAACTAGAGCTCAGACGGTCCATTTGCTACCTAGACGTTGAGTCCGGTTCGAGTCCGGAGCGAGAGGACACTCTGGGTGGCTCGCCAGCCAAAATGGTGTCCATGTTACCTAAGAAAGGCATTCTGAAGAACAATCAGCAGCGCGAGTCCGGCTATTACTCCTCACCAGAACGCAGCGAGTCCTCAGAACTGTTAGGCGGCGCTACCGTGCAGCCTCCTAACAGCTCACCCACCAAACGGTCTGTCGGGAGGAAAGGAATACTGAAGCGTAATGGGAAATATTCCACACACAATGCGGTGGGAATCCACGGGGAGGTCCCGGCAGACTCAACCCTCTCACGGAGCCAAAGCAGACCCTCTAGCATTGTGTACGAGGAGACGGGTCTCTCCAGCATGGGCTTGGACTGGCCCCCCGCCTCTCCCAAGCCCAACATCCGTGGCTCACTGTCTGCCGAAGACTTGCTGCAGATGGCTGGATACAGGGGCCTTCAGACCGTTGCGCCCCTTCCCAGCGGAAAGGGTGCGCGAAGCCCTCCCGGATCCCCTGGAGACAACGGCAGCTTCTCGTTGCTGGCCGATCTGGATGATGTTACCCAGGTGTACCAGAAAGCCCTGGACATCAGCAGCCAGCTGAGCTAGACTTGGACAAAAAAGCTGAAGAGTAAAGGATTCCCAGCTTGTCCTTCTCTTCACAGTGCTACTATGTAAACGTTTACAGGTCGAGAAGCGGGACATTTCAAATCTCCATTCACCAACTCGTGTTGATGAGCATTTCTCATGATATTCTCGTTTTAAACTCGACAGTTGAGGGGGAACAACGGAAGCACTTTAAAGCGGCTGTTCTGCAGCATGTAATGTTCATGAGAGCTGGGACCGTGTTATTTAAGTTATTTATCTGTCATTGGTGTTTTGGCCATTTGAAAATGCCAAGGCCATTTCATAGTCCTTGGGAGAGTGTTTTCATTGATACAGGTGTTAGATAAAGGCCATCTGAAAATATGTATAATATATTATCATTGTATAACACCAGCAATTTCAGTGATGTAAATGCACAACAGTCCATCAGTGATGCTAAGACTTGAGAAGCCAAGACTACGAATTTGGAAGGGTTACTGTTATTTATACATAAATAATAGTAGCACTATATTTTACAGTCCTGTTTCCTATATACAGTACATACTATGTACTTATTATAGTAATTACAATAACTGGGTAATAATTAGGTACTAACCCTTAAACCTAACCTTAACCCATTTAGTTACCTTTTAGTACTTTCTTAGTACGTGTACTGTAAAATGAAGTGCAACTGAAAAAGAACATAGTGTTTTGACAACATTTACAAAAAGTAACAAAAGGTACTACGGTACTACAATGGTATTCTTGAAACCCTCTGTTAGTATAAAACTACCAGTTAATTTAGGCAGCCCTAAAATACTATAAACAAGAATATAATGATAATTTTATACTAGGTCATATCAAAGTACCGTATTATAATTTGATGCCATCACTTTACCATGGTACTTACTTTTTTTTGCAAATGTTGCATTGCATTGCAAATGTTGACATATCTCTGAGAACAGTTAGTGAGCAACTAGTGGAACACAAAGCATATGAAAGGGCAAAGGTTGTATCAGTGTTATGATACCATACATTCCCATTCTCTATTACAAGCGTGTGTGTGACACACACGCACACAATTATATGAGCCCCCTGAAGCATGAAAGTGTGGAAGGACAAGTTTTGACCTATGGTGTAGTTGTGGTCCAGAAATGACCTGCATTTCAACAACACATGGCATTTAAGACAGGAAAAGAGATGTCAGACTGTTCTTTTCATAAGGTGGAGTGTTAAAAGACATATTGAAGGGAGTAGATTATGAAAACAAAGATTAAGAATAAAAAGGTTTCTTTTAAAAAATGGGAATCAAAAGGTCGCTTTTTGAACTGTAAAATCTTCAGGAAGTAGTATATTGTGCATGTGTTTTTTTTGTTCAACATTCAATGGCATGCCAAGATAAACTGAACATATAACATGCCATTTTCCCTCTATTTTCTTGTTTGTTTTTGGTTGTAATTGGTTGTTTAATTTCTACACTTGCTCACACAGGCTTAATTTCAAAATATTGGTTTCTTGAGGCATTTTTACTGCAGGTTAAGTATGAACAACAGCTTTAAACTATGTGCTTAATATTAAAATCTTAAGTGTTAAGATATTCAAGGCATTTCTTTCAACCTAAGTATCAATGTGGCAGTTTTATATGAAGTACAGTATAACCATTTACATATATAACATTAACTGGAAAAATAATTGTATCCTATAGGATATCTGTTATAGGCCATTTAGAAAACTTGACTGGATATACTACATATTTAAATTGTGTTATTTAATGCGTATTGTATTATTGTACATTGTCATGGCTATTTGTTATTCTGTACCATTTTTTTTTTTCAACTTTGACTTACGATTGTCTTGATTTGTGCCTTCATTGACATAAGATTGTCCTAAAATGTTAAAGTTATTCTCAGTTTAAATAATTTGTGACATTGTTTTTTAAAGATTGTCTGTATGGTTTGTTATGCGCACAGTTAGGTGGTGTATTAAGCCGTACTGTGCTGTTTGTGCTCAGTGCAAAACAGTCACTTCTTTTAATAAATGTCTCGATCTAAATACCACGTGTGTGTGTGTATGTATCTCCAATCACTTCATTAAATGAAGAACACAAAGTACCCATAAAAGTTTAGAGCCTCACCCAACCAACCAGCTGTTCCAGGATCAGTGTCATAAAAAAATAAATGTGTGTATATACATATACATATATATAGCCTACACACACACACTGACCTTGTTGTGTCCGGAAAAATACATTTCTTGTTGTTTGTTCATAAGCCCGCATGATCACAGTGCAACACAAGCACACATTTCTCAAAGTAATGCATTTACTTCTCACGTGACCTTTTCCAAAACAGCCAAATCCCTCACATACTGTACATGCAATCAAAAATAATTTTTGCTCCAACATTTACTATGCACTACAATAGCCATCATTCTAAAAAAAAAAAAATCTAGACACAGAGACATTTTTTATTATATAAATCTATTAATTGCCGCTCATAATGTTTGGGGTAAGATGTTTTTTTAAAACAGCATTTGTGAAATATTTGTAAAATTTAAGGTTAACTATTTTAATATATTTTAAAATAGAATTTATTCCAGTGATGGCAAAGCTGAATTTTCAAGATTCTCAACTCACATGATCCTTCAGAAAACATTCAAATATGCTGATTTGGTGCTTAAAAACATTTTATTAGTGTTATTATCATTGAAAGCAGTTGGGTTGCTTAATATTTTAAGGAAACCTTGTTTTTCTTTTCAGAAATCTTCGATTAACCAACAGTTCAAAAGAAGGCATTTTTAGTATATGAAAGTATTTCTTGTCACTTTTGATCTGGGTGAACTCAAAAACGAGAGAGAGAGGATCCATATGCAGTGAGTCTTATTAACAGAATAAACACCAATAAATCCAACATGAAGATCACACACCAAAACATACAGCCACGAAGGACCAAGAACATGGAAAAACACTAGAGTATAAATATTACAATACACAGTAAAAGAAAATATGCATTGTTTGATGGAACTGTTGGAAAAGTTTAAACTTAAAAAGTCACTCACTTCCTAAACAACCCAAAAAAAGGTTAAGATAGATTTAGTGTGGAAAAGCAAGCACAAGACTGTGTTTGCATGGGCCAGGCTTTACAAAAAAAAAAAAAAAAAAATCTTCATATGGCTGGAAAAATAATCAACAACAGTCAGGAACAGTTGTTGTGTATGTGTGATTGCTTTAGTGGACACTAGCCCTGTTGCATGGTGTGAAACCTCCATTTACGACCTAATGCTTTCCGTCTGTGACTAAGTAGGTGTGTGTGTTTATGTTTGCGGGTTTGTGCAAGAATCTGTGAAAAATCTTCTGTGTCGGCACCTCCTCTATACAAGCACACATCCCATAAATCTCAACTAATTTTAGCTCAGCATTTGCCCACAGTTTGCATTAATGCATGAGCTGCTCTGGAAGTCTAGGCTACTTGTCTCTTAGGAATGTCTGGCCTTTTGAGCAGCGACCACTACAAAGACACAGAGGGGAAAAAAGGAAAGCGATGGTGGGGAGAAAGGGAGAATGAACAGACAAAAAAGGTGAGACAGCTAATGTCAAAGCCTCGTTTTGAATCCTGACGCATGCAAACCACGGCTTCTGACAGCACAGACTCGTACAAAACAAAGGCCAAGAACAGCAGAGATTCACTCCTCACGCTTTTCTTGCCTTTTTGTGGAAATGTGTTGATGTTTAGGTTTGTGTGTGGTCCAACCAAACAGAACGTCTAAATCCAAATAGGACGTAACGGGATAGCTCTCTCTTTCCTGAAGAAAAAAAAAAGCTTTTTTCTCTCATTCCAGAGAGTGCTCAACCCATCTGGTCTTGATTGAAAACAACCCCCTTTTGTTCTCAAGGAGCTGCCTTGAATCACTGCAACAAGATCAAAGATAGATGTCCATTATTGCTGAATTAGGATCAGCTTACTATTCTAACACAAACCTGAACCTGAGAAAGACAAATGTGGTGAAACTGTTCTCAGATCAGCCCAGACACCTGACATTTACCAACACCCAGCCGTTTATCTGAAACCTCATGAGCCACGTCCTCTTAGGTGAGATGAACGATCAAGGGCTTCCATCCTCTCTCCTATCCCATAATCCACTCTCCCTCTACGCTTTCACACCAATATCAAAGCCCTCCAAATATTTTTCCTCAAGTTCTTCTCATTCTTTATTCCTCCTGGAAGACGGTTAGCATTCTCTAGATTTTTTTAAAGAAAAGAAAAGATCGTGAAAGTTCACCCGATCTTAAATATGTAAAATAGATGGATGATGTATATTATAATTTAAATGTATAGATTTGTATTGTACAATATCTAACATCTTTAATTTAACTTTAATTTGATACTAATAATTTAATAAATTGTTTAATGTAACCTTCAACCTAAGGTAAACTTATATTTATTTATATTTATATTTTTTATATTTAATTTATATTTATATTATATTTATAATATTTTTTTAAACCTCAAGTGCATTTAAATTTTCCTAAAATGATAATTTTTTATCAAGCTTGTATATTTAAGTTCAGTAATTTATTAAATTGAAGATTACCCATTAATTGTCATTTAAGTGAAATCTGAACTTAAATATCAGAATAAAAATTGTCATAGAAGAATATAAATATTTATATATATATATACTGTCAGAAAAAAAGGTACAAAAGCTGTCACTGGGGCGGTACCTTTTCAAAAAGGTACACTTTTGTACCTAAAGGGTGTATATTGGTACCTTAATTGTATAAATATGCACCATGAAGGTACCAATATGCACCCTTGAGGTACAAAACTGTACCTTTTGAAAAGGTACCGCCCCAGTGACAGCTTTCATACCTTTTTTTCTGAGAGTGATATATATATTAATGGTTACCAATCATAACATGAAAATAATAATCAATTCAGCATGACTTCAATATTGGTGCATCAAGTCTAATTGAATAAGTTCTCTGTTTAAATAATTAAATTACAAATTGTGTGTGATACATACCTAATAAAGTGGCTATTTCATTAAATAAATCAATCACAGAAAATTTCACAGAGTTTTAATGTCAACAAGATGGGATGGGATTCGTATTTAAGCAAATATTTTCTTTTAGAACTTGCTCAAGACTGAATCAAAACCTTTGTTTGGATCTAATTGGTGAAATACTCCACATACAGTACATTCCATTTGACGAAGACGTCTCATATTAAACAGATGACAGATTGATGAGTAAAACACCACACTGGCTGAAGAAGACCAAGTAGATCTGAAGTAAGCAGGCCAAATCTGCACAAACACATACAGCCTGCAGCGAAATGAGCTGGCACTGTGTATGGGAATGATGATTAGCACAAGTTATTTTGCTAACAAGCCATAAGTCTAATTGATCTCTGAGCTGTGAGGAACATATTGAGCATCAAATTAGAACAACAACAAATTATAGATTGCGGACCCAACTGCAAACTTGAGCACATGCATTAGATCGAATCCAAGAGGGTTATTAGTTCAACTAGATTTTGAACAAAAAAAAAAAAAACACTAAAAGTGATTGTCTGTACTCATGTTAGACTCACTGAACTAGACCTCTTTTCTCCCTACATCTACATGAGGAACCTGGATTGAATTTAAGACTGATTCTTTTCACTCAACAGCATTAGATGATAACAATCTCCTTCTGTTTAACAAGAGATTCATAATAGAATAGAACAGTGGTATGCAAGAATGGACATTCATTCATGTCTACACTCCTAATGAAGGTGCATACCGACGCTGAGCAATGTAAAAAAGAATGTAATAGAAAGTCAAAAATAGTTTGGTCTGGTCACCAGCACAGCTCTCAATCTCTCAGCACGGAGGAAGACAGACTAATACTGCCAAAACAACTAACCATGAAAGGAAAAACTCACGCAATGCCCCCTGCCCAAACTCTTTCATATACACCCTTTTTTGTTTTCTTCAGAGGTCTTGGATTCGCAAACATTTCATTGGTGTGTTCCGATCCATGCCATGCCTAATGGATATTTCAGATCCGTATCGGCCAAAGACAACAGCAGGCCGACATTCTTGGTGCTTGACATCAAAGATGCAAACAATCATATACTGCACAAAGTCCACATATGGATACTGAACCCTACCAGGAGCAAAAGCCTCACAATTGCAAACAGGTCCGAGGACACATGGGGGGAGGGGGGAAATAGGGGGCAAATTCCAAGACGTTTAAAGATAGCTCAGGATGTATGGGAGTTGACTTAAGATTCCCAAGCCAATATATTGCCCCGCGGCGATCAGAGAAGAACACGCATTCCAGACATTCCTCTGTGACCGATCAGTGGGTCAGTCTACCGGCCTAGCGCCTGAACCCAGCGAGATGCATCAGGGGATGAAGAGCATGACTCTTAAAGAATCTATGCTAGTCTGAACAGCCTTTTCACTTCTTAATTGCCTTTACAGATTCTAATCAAAGACACTTTGCTTCTGCATGACTGGCAACGCCAGGATTCGGGCAATGTTAGCCAATAAAATCGCTGTCTACGGTTTCTAAACAAAAATTCATTATTTTACTGTGAAAGGATGAATTATTAAATTGATCAAAATCAATCAATAATTGACTTCTTTCAAAAACATTTTTGAAAACAAATCTCAAACTCCTATATAATAACTAATATTGCCTAATTTCCTAGTTAAAATATCAAGAACACTTACAGTATAAGAGAACTGATCTTTAATGCCAGTGTAATTTGCAATAGGACATTTTTTATGTAAACAGTATTAAAGAAAAAACTAAATAAATGAGAAAACTCAAGTAAAAAGAGAATACAAACTCATAAGTCAGTGCATCCAAAGAAGCTAAACAGGAAAAGAGATCTGAGCCCAGAATTGCTGTTTGCAAAATTATACAAGATATGGAAATTATGTGCTTGTTTTCTGGCCTTCAATGCAGATTGAATCCAGGTTTTGGAACATTACCCTATGAAATTAACCTCTTTGTGTAATTGTATACACATTCTGCTAACATTACAACTAACTTAAACGGT